CTTTACTATACATATATATCAACTATAAGTGAAAGACCATTGATGTCTTGTTGTATTTGTTTTTTGAAAAATCAGCACACTCAAATTATGTTTTATGATGTTAGTGTTTTTATATCAAATACTCCTCCTGAGAGACTATTTTCAGATAAATAATACTTATTTTTGCTTATCTTCTAATTATGTAATCAATTCGACTAACTTGTAATCAGGTGACCTTAACAAATACTCACAATAGAGTTGGTTCTACTATTTTCAGATAAATAATACTTATTTTTGCTTATCTTCTAATTATGTAATCAATTCGACTAACTTGTAATCAGGTGACCTTAACAAATACTCACAATAGAGTTGGTTCTATTTGTACTTATCTTTGGTTCTTTTGTAGGTGGTCAAACTTGAGATTTATGAAGTGTTGTTTCAATTAATCCCAGAAATGATTGGAGTGTTGCTTATTTGGTAAAGTCCACCTCTTTTTTACTTTTATTAACTTCAACTCATAAATCAATCAAGATATCAACCCGAGGCCTTTCTAATCCAATGTTATTAGAAAGTTTCTTTTATATTTTACACATAAATGTCTAATTTTTCAAATAAACATCTATCAAATAATGTTTTCATTTCACTAAGTTGTCAAAGACCTAATTCTCACTAAGTCGTTTTTAAAACTTAAGTCTTGCAGCCATGTTTTATATTCAAATGGATGAAAATGAACTTACTTTAACATGTTGTCTGCTATAGTAAGATTTATGTTCTTTGATTTTTATCTTTTGACTATTTTTTGCTAATCTGGTATTTATATAGGCAATCCCTCTTAACTTATAATAGGGTGACCTTTTCATAAGTTCGACCAAAAGATTTGGCTCACTTTGTCCTTATCTTTTATTCTTTTGTATGTGGCCAAACATGAGATTGATATAATGTTGTACCATTTAATCCAAAATTGATTCAAATGCTGCCTATTGGCCGGGTAAACTTTGCATCTGTTTTACACAAAATAACATCAACTAATTATATTAATCAAGCTATCAACATGTGGTCTTACCAATCCAATATTATAAGAAAGTTTCATTCACATTATACATTCAAGTGTAATAATTCAAATAAGTATCTATCAAATAATCTTTTCATTTCTCTAAGCTATTTAAGTCCTAACTGCCATTGTGTTTTTAGAACTAAAGCCCTGCTCCCATGTTTTAAGTTCAAATCGAAGAAGATGAATTTAAACAGCATGCGTTATGTGCTATAGTAATTTTTATGTTCTATCACTCTTATCTTCTTTGAACAGTTTTTGCTAGCTTATATCTGTGTAAGCAATTCCAATCACAATTTTTTTTAATCTTATCTACCTGAAGCCTTTCCAATCCCATAATATAAGAAACTTTCATTCAAATTATTCACATAAATGACTGATTTAAAAAAAACACTTTTTTAACCTGTTAGGCAAACTACCCATTAGTGGGGTAAATGTCGGTGAAACATTTATTCACATTATACATTCAAGGGTAATAATTCAAATAAGTATCTATCAAATAATCTTTTCATTTCTCTAAGCTATTTAAGTCCTAACTGCCATTAAGTTTTTTTCAGAACTAAAGCCCTGATCCCATGTTTTAAGTTCAAATAGAAGATGAATTTAAACAACATGTGTTATGTGCTATAGTAATTTTTTATGGTCTATCACTCTTATCTTCTTTGAACATTTTTTGCTAGCTTATATCTGTGTAAGCAATTCCAATCACAATTTTTTTAATCTTATCTACCTGAAGCCTTTCCAATCCCATAATATAAGAAACTTTCATTCAAGTTATTCACATAAATGACTGATTTTTCAAAAAAAAAACTTTTTTAACCTGATAGATAGATAAAGAACCCATGAGTGGGGTAAATGTCGGTGAAACATTTACCAAGATTTATTAATAGAAAAGGAAGTTTAGAAAGAGAACGGGACATAAACCAAAACCTCTTGAGAAAGGCATGCCTTTTCAAATAAATATTTATCAAATAATGTTTTCATTTCCCTAAGCTATCAAAGACCTTACTACCCTGAAGTGTTTTTTAAAACATAAACCTTGCACCTATGTTTTAAGTTTGAATAGAAGAAGAATTTAAATAGCTGGTATTTATATAACCAATTCAATTAACTTCTAATCGCTTGCCCTTAACAAATTCTCATAACAGAATTGGTTATTTTTGTACTTATCTTTGTTTCTTTTTTAGGTGGTCAAACTTGATATTTATGATGTGTTGTTCCTGTTAATCCCCGAAATGATTGAAAGGTTGCCTATTGGGTAAATACTACCTTAGTTTTATTCTTATTAACATCAACAACAAATGAAAGCAGTTAAGGATTTTCTTAATTAAACTGGCTTACTATATTGATCTTTTACCAGTCATCTTGTAAACTTTAAACCATGATTTTACTTTCATTAAGATAATGGAAGTTATAAATTTTATACTTTTAGAGAAGTAATTTTAGCAAAGAACATTTGTATATCATTTTAATATTATCAACAATTTTTAATAAAAATATATAATAGATCAAAACTTTAAAGATGGCAAAGTGATTCGGAACACAGGTAGTATTATACACTAATAAACAACAATAATACCAATGATGACCACATATCACTGGAATCAATTGTATATTTTGACATTACATTCTTATATGACAAATATATACCTCTCTTCCTTTTTCATACCGACCTGCTATTGATCCATTGATATTTAAAATATAAACACAAACAAAAAAATAATTTGGCCAAACCCTAAAAGACCAATCATTATATGAATGGATTGGACTGTACAACATTGATTTATGATCCATTATAGCTTTTGTTTTAAGTAGATAGCAAACATTCTGTATTATGTGGGGTTGTTTAATACTCTGTTCGGCCTATTTTTTTATATTTGCAGTTGTTTCAATGTAATAGTAAATGAAATGTCATTGATATCATACACAACTCTATCAGTATTTATGAAATGGCTCTCGTTTTTTAAACTTCAGTTACTTGAATCAAGCAATTTTTACACTATCAATCAATTGCTAGAGCCAATAAATATACTGACAGAATTGATCAACCAAAATTGATATACCATTCAATAAACTTTTCATTTAATAGAAATGACACAATTTGTTTCCCACTTAAATGTTTTTGGTACTCTAATCTAGCCGACCCTAGTTTTTGCGTGGTCAACTCAAGGTTTTTTCTATCTAATATATACATTATATTAAAGTACATTGAAATTATACACCTAGCTATGTCAAATATACAAATACACCTAATAACGCTAATGTCTCTTCAAATATGCATTTGTAGTTCAAACCCGATCCCCCCAACACCTTAGACTTGTATTCTAGTGTGTAGATTGGTATAAATATCAACTATTAGGTATGTTGACCCATGATAAGCATATTCCTATAAAAAAAAAATTAATAATCATTTTTAAAATTAGAGCAATGATATATGCGTTAATAATACTTCATTTACAACCAAGTAGTAAAATCAGACTTACCCGAAGTATAGTCTGACAAACGTCTTCTCTTTGGACCTACTGTTGTGGATTTATTGAGCTTAGCCATAGTACGTTATGAACTCAACCTTTACACAGGAATTTGCCACATGGGGATGAAGTAATACACCAATTTTTTGGACCTACTGTTTCTCTTTATCTGGAATTTGCCACATAGGAATGAAGTAATACACCAACTTTTTGAACTTACAAACATCTCCAATACATGCATCGAGAAACAATATTTACAAAAAAAGAAGCTTCACTCATCAATATTTAGTATATGGTTGTATGCAATCAAATAGTCAAATGATTTTTTAATTTTTATTCCACAAATAGCTTGTAGCTTATAGGGCTGTTATCAAAACCTATTATTTGATCAGTGAACACTGGTTTCAAAGAAAAAAAGCTGGAAGGAATTAAAATGCAAGGTCTACTTTTTTCTTGGACTTGTCTCACAACGTAGCTTACAAAAGGGTAGGATTAGGGCAGAATAACCGGATTAAGACAAGGATTATTTTTTACTCTAAAATCCTACTTTATCTCTTAAAAACTTCTAAAGCCCAAAATTACCCCAAAGTTCCCTCAACAGTAGCTCATACAATGCCATATCAATAGTGCATTAGCTGCACCATTGCTGGAATTTGTGACTGCTCCCTTGTAGTTCTTGGTACATGAAGAAGATAGATGCCAAGAAACTGCATTGGTCCATGGCTTTTACCTCTTCTGCTTATGCTCCATCGACTTGTAAATCCATTTGCTCTCCTTTTGTCAGCTCAAGTATTGTAATTTTTATTTCTCACTAAGATAGGAACTTGCTTGTATGGAATATGAATGTATATGTGCATGTTGTGATGATACTCTTTCATACTGCAGGAAAAGAATGACGAGAGAGAGAAGAGGCTGAACAATTAATTGAATGGGTTACTCTAGGAAAGAGTAGTATTTATAAGTGAATGGTCTTTCTATAAAGAAAATTTACACCCCAAGAACAGGCTGGTGAGTTTTGATTGGATGAAAATACACATGGCCCAATGAACACGATGGCCAGAATGGATGGGCTGTATTTTTTTGTTACAAATTGTAATAGAGTATCCTTTAAGGATATTGTGTGCGCATGCTCCCTGAAACAGCCTGGTCAGATTTGATTGGTGCTATAAAGTATGTGTACTGTTGAACTTTTAATAGTATTTCTACTATTCACATGTACGGATAAACACTCTCACAACTTTATATACTTCTCTCCCGTAACTTGGTTGATGTTTTTCATCATGAGTACCAATAAAGTTTCCTTTTGGATACTTTTTAGACTAATTTATTTTATTTTTTCTCAAAGCAACATTTTTTTATGTTAGTTTGCACTGTTTGTTGATGTTGACATTCTCAAAACAATTTATTTATTGTTTTGAGATATCATTTTTTCTTTGTTATTTTGCACTATTTGTTGATGATGACTTTTCTAAGCGGGAACACTGTTGAAAGAATAGTCTCAAAAATCTTTTGCTTTTATATAATGATAGATTTGGAATATTTTATTAGTATAATTTGTTAAGACAATTTTATTATTAATGTATTTATGATTGTGCCCCTACTTAATTTTTTCTCTAGTTCCCCACTCTTGTGTACTCATGTATAGCAAGTACGTACAATAAGAAAGTAGGGTCGCCGGAGATAATGATGGAGGCGGAAGCGGTGGAGCACTTACACATAGGAAGAATTATAGAAGGGATACAGCTCCCAACGAAATATACAGTTAGGATTATAGGAAACTCCTCCTTTGTTTCTAACGCAACAATCCTGAAAATCACTCACAACGGTTCTCAGACAAGAATCACAATCAGAATGAGACAGATCTGGAGTGCACTGCGTTATCGCGTAAATGATCCGAAATCTCTGTAAATTCGTTTGGCCGGAAGCGTACTTGATCTTCGTCCCCTTAGAAGTTTTGGCTATTAACCTCGAGACGTGAGGATCCCAAATCTTCTTAACCGATTCAACTTCATCCGCTTCGAACTCATCCGTTCTAACAACTATCAGCTTAGGAGAAAGCTCCAATTCCGCGAAAAAGGAACGATTCGAATACCTAACGATACACGGAACGGAGCTCTCACTTGCCCAAATGATGGCTTCCATTTGGTTCGGGCAATTCTCTGTGAGGTTTTTAGTTCCAGTTTTGACGCATTTGGTGCAAGTTTCAGGGGTTGAATCGGCCCTGCAAAGGGCGATTCCGTATATTTTGTCAGCGCCATGGCCTGCTGTGGTGTTGATGAAGAAGCCGTAGCTTGAGGTGATGTTGGAGGACAGGGCAGAGAAGAGGAGAGCTCTGTTCGCGGCGTAGGTGCTGTTGACTGTGAAGTTTCCGGCGGTCGGAGAACATGTTTGGGCGGCAGTTTTAAGACCATTGATGATCGTCAGTAAAAGGAGGAGAACAAAAAGGATATTCATGGAGGATTTGCTACTTTGATAGCAGTTGAAATGGGTCACACGAAACATGTGTTATTCATATCAACAAAATTGGGTATTTGCTCCTGTGTACTTGGTAGCTACTTATAGTTATAAATAAATGAAGTAATTCGTGAATATATTTTTTATATACATTGGAAAAGAATTCGTGAACATTTTGTATATACACGTTTGAACATGATGTTAGTTTTCTCGCATTTAAAAAGATTGTAATAAAGGGTAGCAGTACATTTATCGTATTCACAGGGACGAACAAAAAGAAATTAAGTACAACATAGTGTAGATTGTAGATGACTGGACGAAACTTGCAAGTATACAAGTGTCGATATAATTATGAAATACCAGTATATACTGAGTCGATCCACAGGTAAATGGTTTATTTTATAAAGTTCGGGTGCTGAGTACAAATTATAGGAATGATGTAGATTTTAAGGAACTTGCTTTTTTATAAATACGATGTCGCTAATATATTCTCACTTTGATTTATCGTATACTTTTATGAATACGATGTATGATTTATTGTATACTTTGATGAATACGATGTCTCTAATTATATAAATTTAACATACTTCTATGGTTTAAAACTTTGAAAAAATTCCATTTTTGATCCCATGACTATTATACCACTTCCACATTAGTCCCTTACTTTCAGATTGTCCATATTTAGTCCGTGACCATTATCCCCTCACCACCCCTCGTCCTTCCGGCCAAAATTCTGTCAAATTTAATGCAGATTTTAGGTATGAAAAACCAAATTTCATGGAAAGACTGATATGAAAAACCCAACCTGATACAAAATTTAATGCAAAGACTGATTCTAAGGCCGAGAAGTGGACTAAATTTACAAGATTTTTGGCCAAAAGGACGAGGGGTGGTGAGGGGATAATGGTCACGGACTAAATGTGGACAATCTGAAAGTAAGGGAATAAATGTGGAAGTGGTATAATAGTTATGAGACCAAAAGTGGAATTTTTTCTTAAAACTTTTATCAAACACCTAATGGGCATAGATGTTCATCATATCCATAGTACTAGTTAAGAAATTAGTCTCTAATGAGTCTAATGCTCATATATTAATCACAACACAACAATTAAATGTAATAGAATATGAAATTACTAAGGAAATAATACCTTATCACCAATTGTCGAAAAAGATGGACGCCCTTCTTCAAGAACACAAAGAAATAAACAAGAACAACATATAAAAGTATGAATTTAGCTACCGAATGGGTGATGATTATGGAAAGAAAATGAGGGTGTATATTGACAAAATATTGACATCTTTTAGTCTATTCCCGATCAAATATCGGATCGAAATTTCTCAGCTTCCAACCTCCAAAGCCGGACCACAAGCAAAGGTCATGCGAGAAATTTCCAACCTACAAACAACATCATATTATATACTACCTTCGTCCCAAATTGATTTGCAAATTTGACTTTTCTTGGTCAAACAGTTTCGTTTTGTTCACTTAATTAGTATGCCAATTTTTAATTATATTCTAATTTGAAGTTTTCAAATTTGAAGATATTTTGATGTAATTTATGAATATGTAAATTTTAATTATTAAAAATTGAATTAGTTATGCATAGGGAGGATTGACTTCTATTATTGACTGACCAAAAAATGTTGACTTTGCAAAACAAATTGGGACAGTAAACAACATATGATCGAACTCCCCGTAAACACACCGAACGAAGCAAACTGTGGAAAACAGAGAAACAAAGCAGAGCGAGAGAGAGGGAGAGGAAGGGCCAGATGGAGTCGCCGCCACCACCCACGACGGCTCGCCGGAGAATAAGCTTTGACGGTGCCGCCATTACAACGCGAGGAGCTACTGCACTAGGGAGCTATCTGTCAGACCAAACTGCTATTCTAACCTCCATTATGATGCCGGAGGGGAAGACGAACCGTTGCCGGAAAAGACAACTGAGCCGCGCCATTCTGTGTCGCCACCTCGCTGGAGTGGAGGAGCCTCTGGACCGCTGCCGTCTCCTCTAGATGGAAAAAGGGCCGCTGGTCGTCTACAGTCGCCGAGGAAGCTGTGTTGACGACATCTCTTCTCTGCGTCACTATATATCGTCGAAGAGGACGGCAAACAGTAAGTAATCACTTACTCCGTTAGTTTGTTAGGCTGGGCTGTTATTTTAAAAGGTTGAACGAACAGATCAGAATTATAGTTTGGACCATGAAATCCTTTTTATTAAGCTGAATTTTTCAGGCTGGTCCGACTACAATAAAATAAATTCAACTGATTAAATTGAATAAAATGATACAACCGAATGATTATAAATGACTTAAGTGTGGACTAATTAATCTCAATCTATTAGACTAATAATTATTAAAATTAGAATTTTAATATTATAGAAGGTGATTCTGGAGATCGAGATAGATGCGTCCAATAGGATATATTGCGAATCGAGGTAAGTGTCTGTGTCAATCAAAACTACTATTCATCTAGTTAATAGTTTCAAAAACTTATATGTGAATTATGTTTCAAATTATGAGATTTGATATTATTTGAAAATATGTGGAGTATATGGACTTGCTGAAATTACTATTTTACTAGCGTACTAAATTTGTGACTTTTTCGGTGAGTTTTGCAAACTTTGATAAAATATTTGGATACGAGAAATATTGGTGGATTGATATGAAATTTTATGTATTTGAGACTAGTAATATATATACAAGAGTTTATATTTTTTTATGATTAATATTTCCATCTCATAGACACTTTTGGAAAATTACGATGAATATATAATTACATTTTAAACCACTGCATTTAAATCTATAATTATAACTAGTATTGAATCTATAAAATTATAGATGATTTTGAGAGGTCTTGGTAAATGTATAATACTTATTAGCTAAGTGATATTGAAGATATGGTTACAAATACCTAAATTTTCTAAAATGTATATATAGTTTGTCTCTTCGATAATTGAAGGAATTTCAATAAAATTATACATGTATGTGAGACTACTATCTTTTTGAAATTATTATTTTAAATATATGATTAGGGTACAAATGTAAGTTTACCAAAATTTACTATTTTACATTATTAACAATTTTGAGATGTTTTAATAAAAATATTTATTTATAAAATTCCATACTTAGCTTGAATAATATTACGAGCATTTGACTATCAAATTAAAATTATTAATGAGCTACAAATGATTTTAAGAGATTTTGGTACAATATATAAAATAAACATCTTTCTACATGAGTATAACTAGTACTTATTTTTATAGTAATGTAAGTTTCGATGCCAACCAAAAATGTTTTACCGCATGCTTATATGGATGCAATATTTTAACTATGGGGATTATTTATGACATGGAAATTTTATGATTGACATGGATTGAATATTTTGAATATATGGATATTGGTGGATTACGATCTATTATGGATGATTACATGTATATTCTTTATATTAAAGAATATTACAAAGGATATTTGTAGAAAAATGTGACGAGAATGATTTTGGGGAAAACTTAAAGTTTTCATAATATATTCTTACGTCTCGAGAGAAACACGAGGCGTGGGTGGTTAGGGCTACTACTACTTTTGGTTGAATTTATTTGGGTCGATAACCAGTCCGACAATGACATGCTCCGGTAGACATCCTGGGCTTTTATTTGAGGATCAAAGATCATTTGGTGGTCGTAGTAGTAGTTACCTAATTTACCCCTGGACAATGTCCCTTGTGAGTAGGTGGTAGATAACATCCTACCTACTTGGATTTCTTACTACTCGGAGGGCTTGGAATCCCTTTTAGAGGGTGTGCACACTTAAGGTAGAAATTCAGCTTCCAATTGGTGGTCGGTGGGAGCCGGAATTCTGGGATGAGTCGTAGATAACAATGACTCATTGAACTCGAGGAATCTTGAGTTTCGCTCACTCTTAAAAGAAATCTAAATTATTACTTTTGGTGGAATCGAGATTGGAAATACTTATTGGAGGAATTATTTGAGACCTTAAACCATTTTGGAAATATGGGAGGATATTTTTCTATAAATATTTTTGATCACCATTGAGACAATTAAGAACAATTATTCTTTATAATACTCATAAGAATTGTAAAAGAAACCTTACTATTTGGAGAACGATACTTATTTCCAAAAAGTACAAACACTTTTGGGATATTTGTTTTGGAAAATATATGGTTGGCATTAATTTGGGAAAATATTGTTGGATATGGATTTTTGAATGATTATATTTTGGTAAAGCTTGTACTCCATTTGGATTGGATTTGAACATTGTATTTACGAATATGAGACGTGTGATGGAATTTCAAAAGTTATTTTGGAGGCTAATTATTTTGGGAAGTAATACCTTACTCCTACTATGTGAACTATTCAAAGTTTACAAACATTATTTTGAGCTACGAATGCTATTCTTAAATTATTACTTCGTATTGAGTATGTTGGAAAGTATACATTGTTGAGAAAGTATTTTAGAGAATTATGAGATATTAAGACATTATTTTACTTGCATATCTGTGATATGTTATGAGATGGAATGACTTTTACGAACCCTAGATTTGTGTGTGTATTTATTTATGTATTTATGAGATCAAATATTTTACTTGTATTTGAGGAATTGTAAAGTCTTTTGAGAAAGTTACGACATGCCCTAAAGAAATAGGGTTTTGAAATGTATTTTGACAAATTATATATATGTATCAAACCCGATTATTTTACGGGGTTGAGTAGGCCCTTACTTAGCATTTCAAGCTAATTTTTGTTTTCTTTGTGTTTTCTTTCTGTACTTGATTTTGTACAGGTGGAGACTTGGTGATGTTGATTTCGAGAGCTTCCGCTAGAACACATAGAATAAAGTTGATAGAGTAATTCATATTAGCTTTATTTTAAAAAATTATAGTTGAATAATTAATTATGGGAAATTTATTTCATTCAGATTTATGAAATTGTATTGGTGGTGGATAGCCTGTGCATTCGGTTATGTGAGAACCGAGTGTGGTGGTAATGCCCCTGTTTCCTTTTGAATTTTCCGGTGCACAACTCTGATGTTTTCAAATAAATCATTATTTAAAGGTATTTTTGGATGGGAAATTTCGGGATGTTACATTGTGTAGTCCTCATTTGTAAATCATAAGTCCTTTGCTTCATTTTGATGTCTAAGGTTGACCCCGAAATGCTAGTTCTTGGTCCTGTTTGACTTTTGACCCCCGTTTCTCGATTCTTGACCGCCTTTACGCTTCTTGCTCAATTTGAATTTAAGTATTTTACTTGTTTTATCTTTACATTTTTGTACAGATAAATATA